GGAAAAATGTCAGAAGCTTCTGGCAGCAGTTCGTGCGGGCCGCCTCTCGGACATCGTCTGGACAGACGAGAAATTACACGGTCGTGGTCGCGCACAACACCCAAAACCAGCGGCAGCTGCTACACTTTTGCAATGTTTTAGATCTGAAGGAGAGAACTTCCACACTCCGATACCATTCCATTCCGCTAATTGCAACTATGCTGCAAGTCTGGTAGTACATCCTCGCATAAGTTGAAAGGAGTACTTGGAATTGTCAGAAAAAGACTTTATAATTTTGCTACATCGACGCTTTAGATTCAGATTAGATCACTTTCGATTGAGAACAGGTAGCAGGTTACTGTAGCTTCCTACTCGTGCAGTTTCTGAATTTAGGAAGCAGTCGAAGTACGAAGCAGGAGTAAACGCAAATGCACTACTTTCCGTCAAGAACCTATTGTAACCATTGAGTCTTCAACGTCGCTATTAGATCGCAGTACTGAAAGGCTGCGAAGACCAGTAAAGATTTACTATATCCACACTCGAAAGGATTATCCAATATTTTCCCTGAACCCTGTTTTTCTGCCATGTTTTTCATCTAAGCACAATCGAAAAAATCGCTTCTTTTGCCTGTAACTTTTTACAAAATAAGAAACGAAATATGATTGCCGGAACCAACATTAATTCTTTTGGGTGCGGTAGATTTGAACAAAAAAAGACCACGACAAAAACTTTACAGCAAGAATGCGAATGAAATATGACTCACCAGCAACTAAGTGGTAGAAATAAATAACTTTCCCGATCATTCATGAACCTCCCATAATTATAAGTTTTTCTTTTATTTGATAGTTATATGTAGATAAAACCGCAGGAGAATGCCTCAAAGAAAATACTGATCCATTTATGGCAATAGAGTCTGAAAAGAATCTCGAGTTGCCTTACCGACTGCCTTCACGGTAACCATAAAGTTGGTTCAAAACAAGACGTTTGGCTTCTGAACATGGGAGAGGGCGATCCTTCCGAACCGTTAATATTCCAAAGATTTCTGATGTTCAATGTATTTTTAATAGATTTATGTATTAGCAATCAAGTCTGTGAAAAAAGCCCACGACAGAAATTCTGCAGCAAGAATCTAAATGTGAATTTGTTGCTGCTATAAAGATTTTGCATCCGTTCAATGTCATTGGACCTTCCCGAATGTGTCAAATTTCCAAACAGTTTTGCGTTTTCATAAGGCATTTTGACTGTTTGCGCTCGCTCACACCCGACGTGATTGAGCCTTCAACTCTCAATGCTCAGCTAGAAACTAAACAGTTAGTCATCCTTACATGGTATTAGATTTTATTAGCAACTCCGACTATTAGTAGATGGCTTAGTAAGGCCACTCAAACTTCAAGCCCTTCCCATTTTCTGTGAAGCCTTCACTCTTTAGACGTAAGGTGGCCAAAAGCGACAACTGCAGTGATAAGGGCTGGTAATAGCTAATATCATACAAAGAAAGTGGGCAAACGTGGCCAGTCAAAATGCCCCATGAAAATGCTAAACTGATTAGGAATTCGACACGTATGTGAAGATTCAACGAAATAACCATTACAGCAAAGACGAATTCACATTTGCATTCTTGCTGCGAAATTCCTGTCGTGGCTTTTTTTCACAGGCTTGATTGCTAACACATGAATCTATAAAAACATGTTGGATATTAGATTCTTGGGAAATTTAACGCCTTAAAAGGATCGCACTCTCCCCTGTTTGGAAGCCAAGCGCCTTGTTTTGAAGCAACTCATATGGTTGCCGCTGATCCGTAAGGGCAACTCGAGGGCCTTTTTCAGGCTCTATTGCCATGAATGGATCAGAATTACCTCTGTGCCTAAATCATGATTTAGCTCTCAAGCTGATTTCGCCATGAATCATTCAAACAATGGGATTATGCACCCATCCAGACATATGTACTTCACGTTCTATTAATTTCTGAGAAATATAACTCAAATAGAAGAAATTCTGAATTCCGATGAGACCAATATAAGCTTTCCAGTTTGGTGTTATATTATTTCCTTTCCATGCCGCAATAAAAGCTCCACACCGCGCAGCCCCAACACCTCCTAACGATAGTACAGAAAAGCTTCAAGGCTGTTCTCCGCTGTTTTATCCATAATTTATCCATAACTATTACTTGAAAGGGAAACCTATAATTATGTTAAATCAATCAAACTTATAGTTACAATTATCCAAAATTTCTCTTCAGGGATGATTGGCAAAGTTGTTCTTTCCACCGTCTTTGTGTTTGTGGCCGGTGAGTCAAATTTTATTCGCATTCCTGTTATTTATTTATTTATTTATACGTCCCTATAGACGCGCCGGCTAATCAGTACGCGAAATCAAGACAATTATTGACAGTAAATAGAAAAAAAGGGGAAGAGAAAGAGAAAAAAGGGGGGCTGGACCAAGGGACTAGCATACCCATCGAATAAGGAGAGGATTATGGGGTGAATGCGTTCTAGACAAGTGTGTCGATACAGAATGATAATCTAGGAACGAGAGGTGTATACCTGACTGAGTCAGCAAAGGTAAGCTATCGGGCGAATACCTGCACCAGTCGGCCATGGTGCCCTTAGCGTAACAGTGTGGTTATGATATTTATTTTGCACGCTCTTTCTTTAAATCTGAATAACCAAATGGAATCAGATTGATTCCAGCAATCATGATTTCCATAATTTTTCCCATTTTGGTAACAGTTATAAACATGGGGAGCGACAGACTATCGGGAAAACATTGGATAATCCGCTCAAACGTGAGCAAGACCTCGAATCAGTGGAAATTTTGCCAAGATCTCTACTGATCTTGGCAATATTTCCACTGCTCCAATCCAACAGAATACCGAAATTTTTCAATGGTTACAGTAGGCCCTCCAGGAAAAATAACTCGCGATCACTCCTCCTTCGTAATTCAGACTTCATCCTTTATCCTTCAACCTTCTACACCGAAACTTCAGAATTAGACTAGATCAAACTTGATTCAGATTGGGTAACAGAATCAGAGTAGATTCACGATGAACGTGAAGGGTACCCCAACATGTCATCAAGAATCTACTCTGTGAAGTGATTCTGCCATCCAATCCGAATCAAGTTTGATCTAGTCTGATTCTAAAGTTTCGGTGTAGAAGGTTGAAGGATGAAGGATGAAGTCTAGGGGCGTTAATCAGTCCCGTCTAAGGATGCGCTCCCGTAATCAACTTCCATTCAAAATCGTCCTCCCAGACTAGTCTGGTACAAATTAACCGACCACGGAGGGATGGAAGGCTTGGTTGGGCCCATTGATCTGAGATTTGAACCCGTGACCATGTGTGTGTGTGAAGTGCGCCACTTGTCACTACACCACCTCCGGCATGTAGCAAGTTTATAAAACCATTTTTTGAATATTCCGAGCACTTCTTTCAGTTTACGCCAAGATGTACCACCAGTCTTGCAACAAGGTTCAAGAATGCTTTCCACAATATGTCTGCCAAGATGGAACCTGCCAATGTGAGTTTGTATGAATATTTTATGGCAACAAATGATAAGCCTCTCATTAATTACTGATATTTAAAGTCAGCGATTCAAAGAGGACTTCCCCTGAAATAGTTGCCCATATGGCTAGCAGATCAAACGCCTCTAGTAAGCTTATTAGGTACGGAGTCAGGGTGCTCGAACTTCTACGTGATTGAAGTCACTTCTCACCACGGTGCGAGACTACCTAATAAGGTGTCAACTGAAGAGAATACCAACAGTTAAAAGGTAACTATAACTGGCTAAGAGCTTTGCTTCGCGCAAAAAACCATTCAAGCCGAGGTTCATAGCTCGGTGAAAAATGAGCTAATAATCCGCTTCATTTCAGATTTATCTGTGCAGAAAATGAAATTCCTAATCAGCATAACTGAATTTTTTCTATTTTAAATCACAACTCCTCTCAGGATGCCTAACTTCCTTACTGCTGTTATTCTCTCCAGTTATTTATCTTTTCCCCGCTTGATATGAGGATAGCCGAGTGGACAGGATTGTAAGCTCACG